GATAGATAGATAGATAGATAGATAGATAGATAGATAGATAGATAGATAGATAGATAGATAGATAGATAGATAGATAGATAGATAGAAAGATAGAAAGATAGATAGTGAGGTGCCCAAACAGGGGCCCGTGGGCCAAAACATCATTCCATTCATTGGCGCAATGACTATATAAAGGGCTGTTTTGCAGTTAGTTAAAAACGTTAAGCTGCTCGCTTAATCATTCAAAAAAGAAAAAAAGGAAAAAAAAGACTGTACTTAAGAAGTATTTGTATTTCATGAATTATATTATTTCATTTGGCCTATGGATAGACTTTCATTTTGGGGAAAAGCTTTGTGCAGCCTTGATATATGAATATACACGGAAACAGTTAGACTAGTGCATCCTAAATTTAACATAAATTAATTATTTTATTGCAATAAAGTCTTTTTTTGTTTTCTTTTGTTTTTTGGAGGGAGGTCGCCTCCTAATAAATGTCATTATGAAAAATCTAACTGCTCATTTTAAATCAATACTTTTACTTTTAATACTTAAGTACAAAAAATATCAGATATTTTAATACTTTTACTCAAGTAATATTACTAAAGGAGACTTTAACTTTTACCAAAGTAATTTTTTGGTAAGATACTTGTACTTTTACTCAAGTATCACTTTGTGGTACTTTATACAACACTGGGTACAAACTCATAAATAAAATCAAACTTAAAATAGGGTTAGATAATGATAATGGTGCAGTTTTAAGGAGTTTGCCTTAGGAGTTTTTCAGATATATTGATGTGTAATTTTGAAGTGCAGGTAAACACTCAATGTAAACAAAACACTAGTATTAATCCACCAAAAACCACCTGAGTCATGTGACAGACATACATTACGTAAGGAGGCTGTAATTTGTGTGGGTAAACTATTAAAGCAGAATCAGATCAGCATCATCACAGGGATGTTTAGATGGGAATATTAAAATTAATCTGCTGCTAAAAACAAAGGAAAATGGTAAATGGGCTGTACTTATATAGCACCTTTCTATCCAACCAGGACACTCAAAGCACTTTACACAACAATCTGTCCTCATTTACCCATTCATACAGCACTGTTAGATCTCTCTACAGAGCTAATACAGGTAAAATAATCATTAAAGACTAATCAGAACTATAAATCATATTCACACACTGATGGGACACACATCAGAGGCAGTGGGGTTCACTGCCCAGGGACACTTCATGTGACTCAAAAGTAGTGAAATTAAGTTGCCAACTCTGGCATTAGAGAAACAACCCTCCAACCACTCAGCCACAGCTGCCAAAAAGAGAAACAAGGAGTAAAGCAACTGTCAAGAATCAATAATGGAGCTTATACAGGCAGTCCTGTCACACTATAACGTTTTAGACATCTTATGAAATATTTTTATGTTGAAATTATTAATAAAACTTATATATTTGATCCATCTGTTAGCATTACAGTATGTAGACACAACATATAACTAACTTTGTTTAATAATCATCGGTATGAAAAAATATTGTGATGTTTTTATTTTTTAAATTGTAATTTTTTTGACACCTGAGTAAGTTGAAACATCTGAACCTGAGTAATGATGCGAACAAATATATTTGGACACACAATATATCAGATAACTGCATGACAAGTGATCAAAAGTAGAACAAGTCATTCTAAGAATATCAGAGGGGGGACATTAAGGTTTTCAATAAAAGCTTCATAAACTGCTAAATGTTGAAATAAATAAATGTTTCTGGTATAATTACAATAAATAAAAGCACAAATATCCAACAAACTGGTCTTATTATAATGTTTACTTAAAAGCTGTCACTGTAGGTTACATGCATTATTTTAAAGAGTGATATTTTTATTTTCACAACTAAAGTCTCAACCATAGTGTAAACATGTCAGAGTTGACTCTAGAGGTAAAAAACACACACAACAAACTTAAATATTTACTATGATTGTTGGAATTTATAAAATAAGAATTTATAGTATTTTTAAATGCAGCAATTTGTAAAACTTGTTTTTACAGACTTCAAATATATTGTGATGTTGCTTTAGAAAAACGGGCAGAAACGGTTGTTTTGATGGTAAAGTTCATAGACTTTTCTGATTACTCTAAAAAACGTGCTGTCCTGTGATGATCCACATGTCAGATGAAAAATAACATAATAGCCTCAATAAGATGGCTCAGTCCAGTACTGACGTGTGTTTTGATCTCCTTGAATCATTCAGAAAAAAACAGTGGCGGTAAGGGGTTAAAGTGAGCATGCCTATGACACCCCTCTGAGACCCCAAGGGAGGTAGTATCAGAGCCGGGACCAAGCCGGGCAGACCAGCTTGTGAAAAAGCAACCCGCGGTTCCGTAACTGAGAAAATGATAATGAGCTGATGACATCAGTGAGCAACTGCAGGATTAATCAACAAACAGATGTATTACAGAGGGAATATTAAATATGACACAGAACAGTAACATTGTAGTTAGTTTAAAAAGTACTGAGCCACAGGATCAGTTTTTGTGTGTGATTCAAGACAGATGTCAGTGAGCGACTGCAGGAATAGTCAACAAACTGCTTTATTACTGAGGGAATATTAAAGATGACACTAAACAACAACTTTGTTGTTTAAAATATAAAACCACAGTGACTAAAAGTAAATGTGAAGTGCCACGGCAAAAGTTAGACCAAGTAGCTGACGCACAAACCGAGAAAAAAGAAAAACACATAATTTTCTAAGAAAAGTGATTTTCATTTTTTTGCTAAATTTACTAATTGAAGTCGTGAAGAAACCACCCTAAATATCAGTTTCTGAGGTTTCAAAATGGTAAACTTTGTGTTTAAATTCAGCCTGTTTTCAGAATAAATACGAGCCGACCGCATTCACATTTTCGGGGATGGTCAGACGCACAGCTGATTAACTTGCCAACTTTGTTTGGCTGTTCTCAGGTTGTTAGCATGCCTTTTTTACGGGTCTCGTCCACTAAGCTGCAGGTTTGAAAGGAACACATGGCTCCTTAACCAGTTAGAAATGCTGTTGGGTTTCTGTTTTGTGAGCAAAGATGGATCGAGCGGCACATTTTACTCAAGAACTGAACTCCGGCTGTTACAGCACGTTGCTGTGGCAGTACTTCAACACCAAGGCCAACACTGATCTAACTTCTGACTCTGAATCAGCCAGAGCTGTAGCTCCCAAATATAAACTTAAGTCTGAATATTGTGCCTGAGTCCGACCCAATTTTTAAAAATCTCTTATGCAATACAAGTTACGACTACGGTCACACTGCAGGTAAATGTGACCCAGATCCGATTTTTTTGTGGTGGGGGTGAAGGATCAATAAAGTTATTAACCTGGAGTCAAGCTGTTTAAATCGGGTAACTCCACACAAGTTCAGCTACAAAATAGAAGTCCAGCTGCTTTGTCTTTTTTCTTTTCATTTCCATGTCCTGGTTGACTGTGAGTCCACAGAAACATATGA